AAACTAGAGACCCTTGCTACTCCTAGTTAAATTAACCTGTAACCTAATCGTTACCCCTTGTTAAGTTAGATCGTAGTTAGTCTCACACGTTTTCCTGTGGATATGATACTTGGAATACTTCCGAGTGAAAGCTACAGTGGTATCCGTGCGCTTGCGGATTTATCTGTGTGTGTTAAATATACTAACAGAGACAAAAGGCTAAGAAAAAGTTGCAACACCATCATGGAGGGCATTAAATCTCTATGGAGGAAACACTACCCAAACTCAAAAAAAAGACAGAGAACTACAAGGCTGTGGACATTGGTGTGCCAAAACAATCAAATAAGTAAGTTAAAAATTAAAACCGGTTCTTGTGCTACAGATTCTATACATTGGCTAAATCTAATAGGTAACATATCAGATACAAACCAACCAACCTATGCAAACTTGAAAACTACCAATCAGGACCACTAGATGTTGATTCAATGGATGGGGTGAGGGGGCTTAAGCGCAAAAAAGGCCAACGGGTGGGGGGGCTTAAGTGCAAAAAAAATCCTACCTCTCACCCCATCCATTGGATCAGCATCTAGTGGTACTAATTGATAGTTTCTAAGTTTGCACAGGTTAGTTGGTTTGCACCTGATACGTTGCCAATCTAATAAGTGTTGCACATTGTGTTACTGCAACCATGATTGTGGATTTCATATGCTCATGCATGCTGAGCACTGGGATGGCCATACAATATACAACTTCAAGAAGAAAGATATTCTCAGTATACGAAAGCTATTGACACACAAGTGGGTAACACACCCCGACAATGAAACAAATTAGAGGGACAAGTTAAAGCTGGGCCAGGTACGTGGGAGTAAAAACTAGCAATTTAGTATGATACACAAGGCATTTATGTATGAAAAAGAAAGCAATTATGATGTGCATTACGGGTATCTTATGGTAACGAACAAATAAAGTCTGAATATATATAGTACATAGGCTGAGAACCATTTTTAGAGAATACACTGTGTCAGACTTATGAAATAAAACCAAAAAGACAATCCAATAATGAGCACACTTAATCTTTATCCTTATTTTTCAAATAAAAAAAAATTCAGCAACCATTTCAACAAATGAAACAATATGGTAGTAATAAGCATTGATCCAGAATAGGAAGAAAATGGATGGTGCTGTCCAGACCGCGTGCAAGACGAAACCAGTATATTACATAAAGATGCCTGATTTGTTGGCAGCCATCACCTGCTGAAGAATCCTCATTTCAAAGTACAGGGAAAACATCCCCCAGTTAACCACATAGCAAGATTTTAGGGGTACAGAGTTATATAGGTGCCCTACGACCAAAGGGTCCGATGCAAGGGAGGTTGCAACAGAGCTGTCATGCACATGCCTAGCTTGCCAGGGCAAACTGGAGGTAATTTTAAACAGCAGCAAAGTGTGGCGCCAATTACTGGTACATACTCTATTTCTATTGGGTTATATATGAGTACTTTCAGTTAGGACTTGCACCTAACTTTTGGCCTGTAGCCTTTGGATTTTATGGACAGTTACATGACAACCTTCACATATACTCTTAAATGTCAGTGATCACTAGCACCAGATAGACATGTACTATGATTTAGAATTCTAGATTGGATGTTATATATACCGGCGATGATTGGTGAGAGAAGGGAATTGAAGTTCATATAATTACAGTACTGTATGTATTTGCAATCATATCATTCTACCAAAACAGCAAAGCTTGAATTAAGAGCGAAACGCAATGATCTATTACTTGACTTTGGTACAGGAAGGCTTGCATTTGGCCATTTAAGATACACCAAAAAGGCGAAAAGCCTGATCCGGTGCATGTCATCGTCATCGTCCCCGGCGCGGCACCACTGCTTATGGAATTGGAAGGATGGGCAAGGAGTAGCTAGCTGGGAGGGACGAGGGTACTGGGTACTGGGTACCACTAGTAGGAAGGAGCAGGACGCCTCAACAGTAGGTGCCACTACCACAAAGCCACTCGCACAAAGCCAAACGGCAGCTCTCTATATTGATAGCACATGTAGCAATGGTTGTGACGTCCCTGGATCCATCGAGAAAACTAAAACGACAAGCATGCATCCAGGCTAAGTCAGTATTACATAATAGTATCTCTGAAGAACCAAGCAGCCCCAAACCGGCCGCAGCAAAACACACACAGATGTTGCTGTGTCTGCCATCTCTTCTCCGCCCTATTCTATTCTTAGCTTAGGCCCCCTGCCTCCCATCCCCACCCGGTTCATGTGCAGTATTACATTCATATGCATAGTCATTCAGAAATACAGAGAAGCACACGGATTGAATATAAATCAACAATAACAGAGAGGGGAACCACACAAATGCACAAATGTAGTTAACAAAGCTAAGAACAGGCCTAATACCTAGTGCACACTAATAATCAAGATCTGCACAAATTAGGTCTGAGATATCCCAAAATAAACTCACCGTTGCTACTGTAGTAGGAGATTCCACCCCTCTGTAGTAGGAGATGCACTAGTGCAACTGAAGTCCAAATGTCCAATACTGCACATGCAATGGTAGATCCGCCGGAAATTTGTATATGCGAGATCCACCTGCCATAACGTGTAGGGTTAGAACAACATTCATTGAAACGGGTAACAACAAATGCATCAAAAAGGAGAAAGGGGGACAAACCAAATCAGAGTCGATTTCGTCGGCGAAATCAGTTGCAAGGCGCGAAGCAATGCGGGTCGGTGGAGCACCTCCCAGTTGCACGACCGTCGGGCTGGGACGCACGAGGTCGCCGCGGAGAGCCCGCGCCGTTGCTGGGGAGAGCACGAGCTGCCGCCGGGGAAAGCACGAGCGGCCACCGGGAGCGCCTGCACGACCGTCGGAGATGGGTCGCACGGCCGCGGGGAGAGAGCGCATGGACGCCGGGGAGACCACGACTGGCCGTCGGGGAGGGTACCACGGCCGCCGAGGAGCGCCTCCGCAACAACTGGGATGGAGGCGAGGCCTGCGCAGCAGCCAGGAGGGGCGCGAGGCCTGCGCGGTAGTCGGAGATGGGTCGCGCAGGCCGCCGAGGAGCGCTGGCGCGGCAGCCGGGGGGGGGGGCGGGGGGCCTGCGCGGCCACGGATCTCCTGTGTCGACGCCGGTGACAAAATGGGTAGAGGAGAGAGGAAAGGGGGCTCACACACTGTTGGAGATGGGTCACAGAAGTCACGGGAGGCAAGGGCGACACCCATGGGAGGGGGGGGTGGACGGGGCGGACAGAGGAGAGAGGAGAGGGGGTAGACAGAGGAGAGAGAGGAGAGAGGGCGGAAATGATGGGCGTGACTCCCCAAATTCGAATAGTGTTGCCTGATAGTGGGCCCCACTGAGCGGTTTCCACCTTTTTCGTCACCCGTGCATCGAACGGTCGCGTCCGCGCTATGGGACATCGGACGGCGGCGAGCGGGGCGCATGCCAAGGCGCTAACCCGCGTGCGAAAACTTGCATTTAGGTTCAAATTTCGTTGTCAGGATGACTTCACCACTACAACAAACTTTAGAAAAAAAAACGAACAGCGCAGTGAATTGTACACGTAAGCTTCGCAGATCACAATACGTTATCCTGTTCGCTTGTTGGTTTCAGCCAGAGCTTATCAGTCAGCCAACAGTGTTTTTCTCTCACAATAAATCAGCACCCGACGGACTTATCAACCCAAAAATCAACCAGCGAATAAGCCGAATCACAAATCTTTTGTAGGGTAGGGCACAGCTGCTGAATTGTCCTCGGATCGACAGCGAAGAAGCTTCGCGGAAACCGATGGTGCTAGGCTGCTAGCTCGCGCTTGCCACGGTCAACTAGGCCGGGGCCCTCATTTCCGTCGTCCTCGTGAAGCCTATCTCCCGGCCAGTCAGAGACGGACGACGATTAGACATGCCTAAGTGCGATTAATAACCCCATATAAAATGACATAGCCCCATGACCATGTGCTCCGAGGACGAGATTGATCATTGACAGGATCAACTGGTTACTGGTGGTCCCGGGGCAATGCAATGCGAAGGTGATTTTTTTTCTATTTTTGCAGGCCCTTGGAAGGGGAAAAGATGGGAATTTTCGTAACGTGTTACACAGGGACAGGGTCGTATGGAGATTGGAGAATCTTGCAAAGGCTCCTTGCGTCCACACCACACGCTTCCCTCCTCCATTGGTGTCCCGATCTTGTCCTTCTTCTTGTGAACTGGTCAGCACTGTGGCGCGCGCATGCGATGCAGACAGCATGTATGCCGGCCGCTCATGAAATGGCCCGTGAAGGCGTAAACCATGCATGCACATGCGTTCACTGCGGTGCCAGTGGCCCAGTGCCCCCTGCTAGTCCTACGTGGCACACAGCCTCCCTTGCACTGTCGCACACGCCTCATCCGTTGGCACAACTGAGCAGCGCTGCGTGCACCGTGTGTTCTGCACTCAGCGGAGCAGCATGCACGCAGTGCAGCTGCAGCATTGTACGGCCATGCGTCGTCACCGCAGCACTGCTGACTGGCGAGTGAGACCGGCCGGGACAGGACAGGACACGCGCAAGAGCTGCGACTTCGTCGGAGTACGCAGAGGGATCGTTTTCACGGGCTTCGACTTGTCCATGGCATCGACGCGGTGCGTACATATACGGACAAGCGTATCCATTAGTAGGTGACTGGCTGAGGTTTTCAGAGTAGTAGACTGGAGCAAGCGTACCAATCGTACCACTGTAGTAAGTAATTTACATGTATGTAATAATACACAGCAAAATACCAGCTACATCGTCGTCTTATATGTCCACGCGAAGGAAAGGGAGAAAAAAAAGAGAGCAAGAACAGGCAAGGGAACAAGGGGGAGAAGAGCAAGAACAACTGTTCTAGCTTGCAGTCGTCGTCGTCGACTCGTCGTCCATGAATGATGAATCAATGGAGCACGCAAGCGTACCAAATTGATGTTTCCGCACAACAATCCCGTGAGCTCTACGGTGTCTTCGCCCCGGCTCGATCTCGGCGTCACGTTCCTATGTCAGGGTGTTGCAGAGACCCAGCGGCTTGCAGTTGCCGTCGGGGGCGACGGCAGCGGTGGCGCCCCATATCTCGGCCATGTTGGGGAAGTAGCACGCCGAGAGCTGCTCCAGGGCCCTGTCTTGCAGCAGCCCGCCGAAGAAGTCGCCGTACGGGAACAGCTGCTCGCCGCCGCCGTCGCCGAGCTCGGGCAGGGGCAGGAACACGTCCCCGCCGTCCAGCGCCGCTGCCGCGTGCGTCGACCAGGCGCCGTCCAGCTGCGCGGCGACTGCCTGCGGCACGGGCGCGAGCTCCGTCCGCGGCGCGTCGAAGCCTATGAGCCCGCCGGGGTGCTGCGGCTGCGGCTGCGGCTCCGTGTACGCGGCGCCGAAGCGCACGTCGCCGCTGGAGCTGGTGACGGACGAGGAGGCGGGTGAGAGCGCCGGCGGCGTCGGAGTCGGCGTGGCGGGCGCCGCGAAGGCTCCTGCTCCGCTGCTGCTACTAGCGCCGCCGGCGGCCGCCGCCATGGCCATGGCCTTCTTCTTGAGCTTGGTGTTCCAGTAGTTCTTGACGTCGTTGTCGGTCCGGCCGGGGAGCTTGGACGCGATGATCGACCACCTGGCGTGCATGCATAGCTCGATCGGTCAGTCCAGCGCGCGCGCGCAGACGGAAAATCGATCGACCACCTGGGAGTCAGTGCGTTGCCACCCACCTGCTTCCGATGGAGATGTAGAGTGACCAGATGATCCGGTCCTCCTCCTCGGTGTAGCCCCCGTGCTTGATGTCCGGCCGCAGGTAGTTGAGCCACCGCAGCCGGCAGCTCTTGCCGCACCGGTTCAGCCCTGTGGACAAAGCAAGCACAAGGGGAAACTCGTAAATAAATACCGTGTAATGCTAGCCTGATTGACTAAATCCTGAACAACCTGACGACGATGATGGATCAGGCTGGAGTGTACTGGCTCCTACCTGCTTTCTGCGGCAGGGCGATCCAGTTGCCGCCGATGCCGCCGTTGCGCTGGACGTAGCTCCGCAGCTGCTCGTCCTCCTCGGGCGACCAGGGCCCCCGCTTCACGCTCGCCTTGTCGCAGCACGGCGCGCGCCCCATGTCCGCCGCGCGCGGCACACGGCGGCTACGTGCACAAGCTTCAGCTGATCAGCCGAGTCAGCTCTGCACTGGGGTCTCTGACAGTCTCGCTCTGACCAGTGGTAGGCGTACGGGGCGGCCAGACGCAGAGCGCAAGTACGAGACGGGCAGCGGGTGATGCGCTGCTCGGCTACGGATTTTATAGCGAGGGCTGGGCTGCGGCTCTGCGAGAGCGCGGGGCCCGCGGGTACGGCCCAGCACCAGCAGCCGCCCTGAGCTCGTCCCGTTGCGTTCCGTGGCCGTACGGCACGATGGCTTCCGTTCTCCGATGTCACCTAGAGTGGGAGTTGGTTCTTTTTTGACCAACAAAACGAGAGGAATCCTCGACCGGCCGGCGATTTCAATCGCCGAAGGCTTTTTTAACCGTGGGGCTTGGGGGAAAGGGCAACCGTGGTCAGTTACTTTGTTTCTGCTGCTAATTATCGTTGCCCTTTCAGGGGTGCTACTAAAGTAGGTGCATGTGGTAACTCTTCCGGCTTTTGATTCCGCGGCGCGTGCTTCCAAACGCTAGCCGAAGAACAATTTGATGAGAAGATGAACTCGCAGGATCGGAGTTCTCTTTCTCGGTCGAGATTTCAGCTAAAGCCGTTGCCGATACTACATGGCGCCAGAGAGGCAAAGGCAAGGCGAGCGTTGTTCTAGCTGGGCTCGCGTGATGCTGTATCACCACGGGCCATCGCAAACGGCCTTACTTACATCCAGTTGACGGGCTGTCCGGCCCAATGCACGTGTAAATAAGAGCCGCTTCAGAACTTCGACAAACTGACATAAACAATGGAAGAACCTGTGAAAACATTGCTATCGAGGATTACGTGAAACATCACGCATTGACTAGAAAATATGCCACTTCGGTGGACAAAAAGTTGCAAGGACTAATCGTGATTAAGAACTCATGGTTCGGGCCTATTCGGTCGGTATTAAAGTCGGCTGATAAACCGGCTGAAGCTGTTTTGTTGTGAGAAAAAAATACTATAGATTTTATCTAATAAGCCGGCTGATAAGTTGAAACAAATAAACGTTATTATTGTTATGCCAGCACAGAAAAAAAAATACACAGAATATATTCCAGCTGCTGCAAAACCAAGCAACAAATTCATCCTCGAAAAGCCCAACCCGCGCTCAAACTCGCTCACTGGACCGGGCCCATGCACCAGAGCTCCCCGCAAGCGATGCGACCAAAGCGCTGGCTGCTCCCCCAGGCTTCGCGGTTCCCGGTAGACGAGGTCCACTCGCCGATCCGTCTCCGAGATCTCCACCCACTTATTCCCCCCCACCGCGGCCAGGCCCCAGTCCTCTCTCTCCCCCCCTCTCGCGGAGCCGCCGCAACCCAGGGAGAACCCCGGAAGTCTAACCCTAGATCCGGACGGGCCATGGCGTCTCGCCGGGTCGCCTCCTCGCTCCTCCGCTCCGTCTCCCGCCTCCGGGCCGCCTCGCCCGCGGCGCCGCGCCCGCGCGCGCCGCCGCACCGCCCATCCCCGGCCGGGTACCTCTTCAACCGCGCCGCCGCCTACGCGTCCTCCGCCGCGGCCCAGGCGGCGCCCGCCACCCCGCCGCCGGCTACCGGGAAGACCGGGGGCGGCAAGATCACCGACGAGTTCACCGGCGCCGGCGCCATCGGCCAGGTGTGCCAGGTGATCGGCGCCGTCGTCGACGTGCGCTTCGATGAGGGCCTCCCGCCCATCCTCACGGCACTCGAGGTGCTCGACAACAACATCCGCCTCGTGCTCGAGGTGGCGCAGCACCTTGGCGAGAAAATGGTGCGCACCATCGCTATGGACGGCACGGAGGGGCTCGTCCGCGGCCAGCGCGTCCTCAACACCGGCTCCCCCATCACCGTAAGGACGCCCTCCCATTTCTTCCTTGGTTATGGTCGTGCTTTCCATTTCGTCATGGTACGGATCGATCTGATGAAATGTAGATCTAATAGTGTTAGATTTGATCTGGGCATGCAGATCTGCGTGGCCAGGGATTAAATTTTAGATCTTCTGCTGTAGTCTGAACACTGATAGATTAGCTGTGGCAGCATCAGGTTTGATGGTGTCATTATGTTTTGTTGTTATGACACCCTTTTTGCTCATAGATATTCAAATACCGTTGTTGCATGCCTGTTTTTGGCGCCATTGGCAACTGCAATGTTAAGTTGGCAGTGGTGTTTGCATGAATACTCGCGGTGTTTATGATTTCAGGACCTCACATTCAAAGTTCAAGAAGGCGCTAGGCGCTGACCCTTAGCCTAGGCGTTCCAAGGCGTTTTTCTAGGAGTTTTGTATATATGCTAATATACATATATTTATATTCTAAAAAGAAAAAATAAACAGCTGAATAGTGGGCTTAGATAGATAGAAAGGCTGGCTTAGAGAGATAGAAAGGCCCAAGAGGCAACAGTCCAGCCCACTATTCCATCCTTATCCCACTCCAGGTCTCCAACCTTATCCATCGAGTACTCGTCTCCCGCACAGCGCCGCATCTCGGACTCCCACATCCTCTCGACGCCGCATCTGCTTCCTCCCGCATCAGCCGCCGCCGCCACCGATTCCTCTTCCTCTCCTCTCCGGCATCTCTCTCTCTGCTCTAGTGCGCGCCTGCCGCCACCCGCGCATGCCCGCGCCCGCCGCCGCTCGCAGCTCCTCCTCCCCCACCGGCGACCTACCGCCTAGCGCTGCCTTGCGCCTGGATGTCCGCCTACCCCCATAGGCCAGGCGGGAACCCATCGACTAGCGACTAGTCGCGCCTTTTTGAACTTTGCTCACATTTATACCACTGTCAACTATGTTTTCTGACTTCAAAACGATTCCTGTCTGTAGGTGCCTGTTGGCAGGGCTACCCTTGGACGCATCATAAATGTTATCGGTGAGCCAATTGATGAGAGGGGTGACATAAGTAAGTGTCTGGACTTATGATATATTTTGCTTGAAGGTGTATGTGTAAGAACTTTTGATAACCTTCTACCTTTGTATATTTCAGCGACTAACCACTTCCTCCCTATTCATCGTGAAGCCCCTGCTTTCGTCGAGCAGGCCACTGAGCAGCAAATTCTTGTTACTGGAATCAAGGTAGGCGTGTTCAGTTCTTGTGCTAGAATTCGTTTTGGAGTCCTCTAATTTAGTAGCACCTATGCTGCCATTGCCTGAATGATGATTATACATTATAGTATAATGTTTCTTTGACATACAGGTCGTGGATCTTCTTGCACCCTACCAAAGGGGTGGAAAGATTGGTCTCTTCGGTGGTGCAGGAGTGGGTAAAACTGTGCTCATTATGGAGCTGATCAACAATGTTGCTAAGGCCCATGGTTGGTACTGTACCTAGTTTCATTGTCAATTTGGCTCAGTTTATTGTTGGATTTGCTGATTGTGATAGCTGCTTTGTTTCTATGTAGGTGGTTTCTCTGTGTTTGCTGGTGTTGGAGAACGTACCCGTGAAGGTAATGACCTGTACAGGGAAATGATTGAAAGTGGTGTCATTAAGCTAGGTGACAAGCAGGTAATACTTGTGATGCCGTAATTTCATTGTGAACTTAGCATATCAGGGCTGGACCTTTCTCATATATTGCTTTTTGTGGCAGAGTGAAAGCAAGTGTGCTCTTGTCTACGGGCAGATGAACGAGCCCCCGGGTGCTCGTGCTCGTGTTGGGTTGACTGGTTTGACTGTTGCTGAACATTTCCGTGATGCTGAAGGACAAGATGTGCTTCTGTTTATTGACAACATTTTCCGTTTCACTCAGGTAATTTCCGCAGGGCATTTCTTTTGCCTGAAAATGATATACAGCTTTTGGAGCAATTGTCTTTCTAGTTCCTTGTTTGAATATTGTGTTCATGTTAAAAAATCTGGTGTTAATTGTTGCGCTCTTGATATCAGGCAAACTCTGAGGTGTCTGCTCTTCTCGGACGTATCCCATCTGCTGTGGGATACCAGCCAACCCTTGCCACTGATCTTGGCGGACTGCAAGAGCGTATCACGACAACAAAGAAGGGTTCTATTACGTCTGTCCAGGCTATCTATGTGCCTGCTGATGACTTGACGGATCCCGCTCCCGCTACTACGTTTGCCCATCTTGATGCTACAACTGTGTTGTCACGACAGGTTTGTCCATTTGGTTTATTTGACTGGTGCATTAGGTACATGATGTGCTCATTGTGACTTGGGTGCTTCCTGTGCAGATCTCTGAGCTTGGTATTTATCCTGCTGTCGATCCACTGGATTCCACATCAAGAATGCTTTCTCCCCACGTGCTGGGTGAGGATCACTACAACACTGCTCGTGGTGTTCAGAAGGTTCTTCAGAACTACAAAAATCTTCAGGATATTATTGCTATCTTGGGTATGGACGAGCTCAGTGAGGATGACAAGTTGACAGTCGCTCGTGCAAGAAAGATTCAGCGTTTCCTGAGCCAGCCTTTCCATGTCGCTGAAGTTTTCACGGGTGCTCCAGGGAAGTATGTGGAGCTGAAGGAAAGCGTGAAGAGTTTCCAGGTACAGTTTAACCTTTTTTTTGGCCCAGATGAATTCCTCACTATGCTTTCTCATAATGCTTTGATATGACGACACTTGGTGCCTGCTGAGCTGTGCCATAGTTTTTTGAGGCCTCATATTTAGTTTTATCAGACAACTCTTACATTCTATACATGTTTGAGGATGATGTTTCTATATCTCCAGTTATTGTTAAGTAATGCAAGACTTGTTCACAATGTGCTTTTCTATGGAATCTTCTATTGTGCAGGGTGTTTTGGATGGGAAGTATGATGACCTCTCCGAGCAGTCATTCTACATGGTTGGAGGCATTGAGGAAGTCATTGCTAAGGCTGAGAAAATTGCCAAGGAGTCTGCTTCATAAGAAGGCTTCTTGCTTGTCCAATCCTGTACAAGTTCCATTTTTGGATTTTAAGCGTTTATTTGTGCTTTTCGCAGTTAGGCAGGACGAGCTGGAGAGCCATCTCCTGCTGAGAGATGCTTGTTTTTCTC